CAGATGCCAAGGGAGCACGGTTTACTAACTGAGGGACCCTAACTGGGTTTGACCCCAGTCATGACAACATTTCAGGCAGATAGTGGCACAAGTTACCATCTCTACACTAAATGCCAAGCAACAAATTGTAGGCAACATCTTTCCACTGCTTGAGGAAATATATACAAGTGGACTCTCCCTACAACAATCTTGTCCATAGTTTTCTCTTTACAGTAAAATGATTTTTTGGTCCTATAGGGTTTTCTCCCATGTTATAGGGGTTCTCTACAACAAAATACTCTCAACACATTTTTTTTGTGGGTCCCTTGCACATTTCTAGTCCAGCAGTACTCAACATTTAAAAAATGCCTCATTACGATCTGTCCTTGAATGAAACTGATTTTGCAAAACTTACAAATGCGTGTCCTTGGAGTCATACAGGTCAACAACAGCCACAAGTTCTGGAATGAATTCGGCAGCGACTGAATGCCAAACTTCTTCATTGCCCACTGAGATCACAGTCCACAGCGGCCGCAACAAACGCGGGACCACATAGAGATCAACAACCGACTAAACAAAAAAAATCAACAAACCCAAACAAGACGGCAAAAAAACAATCATAATCATGAGAAATCCCGCTAACAACACTTTCGAAAAGCAGCCAAAATACCTGCAAAATATCTTCCACAGCCAAGAAAATCGTGTGCACAAAAGGTGCACACGCATAAACGTTTTCCAGAACAGCTTTCAGCTTCCACAACAACGTATCAATACTTCTCATGTGAACGAGCAGAAACCATTCCAGTCTCCTGTTTTTCCCCAACAACAACAAAAAATGAAGTTATAGCACCTTAAACTCGAATAAAACCCACAATTAAACCCACTCTCTTGAAGGAAAATCCGAACCCAAGTCTACGACCAGACCGAGTGCCAATTTCGTCCCACTCCTGCACATTCTTCGACCACGCTCATAATCAGCAGCATCCAGACTTTCGGCAGTTGACTTCCTGTGCATCCATCGGTAACATCTCGTTTTGTTCGCATCGTTTCCTCCTTCGAAAGAACACAATTGGGTAAATATGATGAACAATCCAGAAGAAAAGCCACAAGATCACATTTCAACTAAAACGATTATTTCCTGCCCCATCACATTTCGAAACGCCCGCAAGTCGGATCATAATTTCTCGAAGACTTCAATCGGAATCTACTTAATTGGCACTCGTGTGCATAAAAAATTAGAAAATTGTCCCCCAAAAATTGAAAAACCTTTTTCTTAACTCGAACACGTAGAAAAAAATGTGTGCAGTAGAACACCAAGCAGAATCTGATCTTTAGACAAGAAAATGAGTTCAGAAAGCAAAGAAAAAGCACTCTTTCTCTGCTCTGCACAGATGATCGAAAAAAAAACTGAAAAAAAGAAAAATAAAATTAGCCTGTATTTGATCATGGATTAGAATGAGCCCATGATAAACTTTTCAAAATTTTGATAAATACCTAAAATAAAAAAAAGTGTCCCCATCTCCGGATGTCTGGGCAAACTTTTTTTTTACATTTCAAGTGTCCCCGAGTCAAATCGTCCAAATATCGGGGCACGATTAAATAAATGCACACCTTCCACCGAATTGCTTTCACTCTCCAATGACGCACTGGATGCGTGAGAAGGTGGGCCCATTGATGCTCTGCTCTCTCGGTTTCTGGCTGCTGTGGAATCTGACTGCAAATGACACCAGGGGTCGGCGTGGGACAAAATTTGAGACGATTGACTCGGGAAGGCCGGATCACTGGTGTTCGAAGCAGTTTCATTTCCGAAATCACCAGCTGAACTCAGTGAACTGTCCAAACTCGCGTCACTGATAAAATGAATAAAAGTTAAAAACTAGGTTCTTCATGAATATTTGTCAAATCATCATCAATGCAGGCTGCCAACGATTATAAATTGTTCCTGCATTGAAGTAATTTTTTCTTTGGAAAAAATAAATGCAGATAGTACACCTCTCCAACATTTTTAAACACGATTCATCATCATTTGAAATCTTCAATGTTCCAGAACTCATAATTTTCTTCGAGATTTTCGCAAGAATCTGGTTGCATCTCTCATAGCCTAAAGCGAGTTGTTCGAAATTATTTACGGTTAAACTCTGTACTCGGAGATACGATTAGAAGAGCTCCGCTTCAAAGGCCAGATCACGTTATTAATAACATTAAAAAATCAACAAACCTGTGAGATGAATGCTGCCAATCCCTTCTTCGTCTGGGTGGAGCTGGAAAAACGAGGGAAATGAATATTCCTCTTTTTTGCACTTTACTGGAAGTCAGGTAGTGAATCTTGCTCGTACAGCCCTGACATCGCATTGCACCTGATCCAAACGCCATTTCCATCAGCTTGGCCACATCTGATTTGAGCGCCAAATACTGAAAAATTACCCACAAACGCACATTAAAACTTTCATTCAGTTACGGAACTTTCACCCCCACGCATGATCTAATTGATTACAGGCAAGTCCAATATCAATACTGTAATAGCTTAATACTATTAAATTTTGGGAAATCTCGTTATACTGTAGCAAATTGTTCAATAAAACAAAATTTGTCTCATGTCCCCGAAACTTTGTTGTAATGAGATTTTACAGAATACTCAAGTTTAGGCGACATCTGCATAACGCCTGAGAAATCGTAATTCGCGCATATGACGTCTTAAAGTTGAATGGACCAATGGTTATTCACTCAAAAAGAAATCACAATTTTCACAAATACCTCAACGAAATAGAGTTCTTAACTTCGTGATAAGGGCCATTTAAAAAAAGAGGAACATTAACGTACCCGGTAACCATACCCATCAGTTTTCTCGGCAAATTCGTTACATTGTTTCTCAGGTCTTGAAGCAGATCTAGAATGGGTCCACGACAAGGAACAAGCGCCAGGGGTCTGTTTCTGACAACTCGGTCTCGCAGGCAACGGCACTTGTTCCACCGACGCCGAGTCGAACAGAAGACGGAATCCTCTCGTGCTCGAGTCCCGCATTATCACAACGCGCAATTGATCCCGCGTGAATTCCGGTGATAACCTGGTCACAAAAAAAGATCATTAAATTTTTCATCTGAAATATACATTTTCTGAAGAAACTTTGACAGGACTCACTTCAAGGGAACCTCGGTAACTTTGGCGCTCCTTTCCGATGAGCGACATTTTGCAAAGAACTTGTTCAGAAGCGCCATCAACACATAATTTCACGATTTCAAGAGCTTCATGTTATCTCTTACGATTTCTTCAGACATACAGTACTACATTGCAGTATCACAATCCTGCTGATGGAAATTCAACCCGGTTTGCGAATGTCTTTGACAGTAACTAAATGAACAGGATTATAAAAAATTCAAGAACAGGGAGTAGCATTTCAATATTCCCCAAATGCACCCCTTGGTTTTTGGGGATAAAAAAAAGTACAGTATTTACAGGTACCACACTCATTCTACTTTTCTGCCTCAGTTTCTGGAAAAAAATGTGCATGGTAACCAAGTAAATATGGTACTAGGTGTTTGTACTCTAAAGCAGTGTTCTGCAACCTTTTTAGGTCTGCAGACCAGCTAATTTCCATAACATTGTTCACAGACCAGCAAAGTTTTCAAAAAATTTCTGCAGAATGGCAAAGTTTCATAAAATTTGCGCAGACTCAAAAAAAAAAAAAAAAAAAAAAAACTTATAAGACTTTGAGAGGAATTTTAAAAATTTTCTGCACTTCTGCTAAAAATTAAGAACCAATGAGGCAGCTTTAGTGGAATATCTTCAAAAAATTAGAGAGGTGGGTTTGAAGATAGGTTTCTAATGTTAAAAAAAAATTAAAATGCTTTATTCAAGCAGGTGAAATTTGTCATACATTTTTTATGCAGGAAATTTTCCACAAACCAGCAAAACCTTTTGAGAACCAGCACCAGTCTGTGGAGCATGGGTTGGGGAGCATTGCTCTATAAGGTACCGATGTAGTTAGCTTTCAGGTTTGTTAGGCATTCAGCTGGATTTTACATTACATGTGCAATCAAATTGGGTATTTCGCCAGGATGGGTCCTGAGGCGCCAAATTAATTCCCTATCCCCTTTGCGCACAGATTTTTTTTCTTTACCGAACAGGCATCACTAGTGACACTAGCATATTTCTTGCAGAAAGCAGTTTTCATGGAAATCTCAAGTGGGGAATATTGAAATGGTCCACCATTAGGCTGCATTTTGAATGCCATTGGGATAGATTAAGACCTTTTATTCCGCGGCTAACATCAAACAAAGATTGAGGAACTCAAAATATTGCAGCTGACCCTCAGCAGGACACAAATGAAGACTAACACACCCCCCTTCTCGCATCAACTCCTGTCTTTCCTTTTTTCTAGTGGTGCTCGGCGTGTTCCAACCGCTCCTTCTCCTTGGCAGCATAATAGGCCTTCCAGTTGCCCTCGGATCGAGACTTGGTCTGGATCCACCAGAAAAGTGGAACACTGGCTCCAACTCCGTACATCCAGTATCGGAACACCCACGTGTTTTCGTAGTAGTAGCGGAAGGGGAACTGCACGATCTTCGCGCCAAGAGTCACAGGGTACCTCATGTTCACCATCTTGTTTCACGTCAAGATACCAAATAAATTTTCGCCAAGTTCTCTGCGACAAAAAAAAAAAGAAATTAAGTTGAAATTCCCGAGATAAGATATTTCATTTTCAAAAACCATCAGCCCTCTTTCTCAGGAAATTTTCATGAGATATGTGGAAAAAAAGTGCTGCAGAAAATTCGAAATTGTTTGCGAAAAACACTTTTCTCAAAGAAACGCTTGCAGAAAAGCTTCACGAACTTGGGGCTAAATACGTCGTAGAATTGCACGTAGTAGGAAAAAAGTTTTTAAAAATTCTTTCAAAAAATTAATGCACACATGGGAGGAACATGAGAGAAGAAAACCCTGTAAATGACTTGAGTTAAATTTCAGCCACTCTTCGCCATTATCAGTGAAGGAAAAAATTCCTTGCAGCACATCAACTGGTTTGAAGATATTAAAGAAGGCTGATTTCTGAATGAATTTCAAAAGGCTGGAAAGTATATCTTATTTTCTCCATCACTAATCAAAGCTGTCAGCTTTCATCAGTCTCATCCATCATTTCTCTGGCCATCCCAACCCGGGCATATTCAAAATCCGCTCCCACGGCAAAAGACATGGCAGCAACCATATCAAAGTTTTTCTCGTCCACCCCAAACACATAACCGTTCGCCTTATCGATGGCAGATCTAACAGTGAACATCATCTCCTTCTTCTCCACATCGAGGGGGTAAAAGGACACCAGACTGTAGTCCTGGACAATCCCGACCAAGGCCTCATTCAGTTTGGCAAACTTGCACATAAACGGGTCGTCTGGAATGGTGTCCAAGAGGAAGTTGAGATCCATGACGTCCATGTAGTAATCAAGGCCGAATTCTAGTTTCCCGTACTTCTGGGCCAGGTCGATTTTGGACAAGATGTTGATGTGTGGAAGAGCAAGCTGCAGCATGGTCGTTAGGGATACGAGAAGTGCGGATATGAACTTTCCTGCAATAAGAATGAGAGATAATTTCTAATGGAAAACACACCTTCTTTCTTTCGAGATGAAAGATAGGTCAAACTTTCTGAGAACCAACATTTCGAAACCAAAATATGTCTCTGACCCAAAACAGAATCCATCGAAAGCTTAGTTCATTTGCCAAAGATTCAAATTTACTGTAATTACTCAAGTAGCATACACGACTTTTTTTTTTAAATTGATAGGAAAGAAAAGGGGTAGCATGTCATAGGGAGGGATACATTTTTCAAAAATTTTAGAAGTTCAGGTGTGCATCACACTTGAATATAATACGAACTTTTTTAGATAAAAAAAATTGAACATTAATTGAATTCAGGTTGAATTCGTGCCCAAATTTGAATTTGGGTGTGAAATTCATAATTGAGACCCATTTGGAAATTAATAGGACAGTAACTGAATTCAGGTTGGATTCGTTCTCAAATTTAAATTTGGGCGTTTCTTATTTCTGAAATAGCGCAGTACATATTTTGGTCAATAAAAATGGGACGCATGCCTTACTCGGGTAAAAGATATCATGAAAATTTTAGAATGAAAAATTGGGGTGTGTGTCTTACTCAAGGCTGCATGGTAATTGAATAAATGCAGTAATTGCAACCCGGGATTTGGTACCTTCTCAAATTTTAACTGTAAATTTAGGCAATCTTGACAGTCACAGCAATAAGAATGGAGTATTCTACTCGAACATAGTTCTTGAATCTGGGACAACAGCACTTCACAAATTTGCATTTTACAACATTTCCATGCACTTAAACTGACAGGAACTTCATAAGACATGCCAAGTGCAGTAAGTTTTCTGAATCTCCTTCAAGTGATAATTTGCACTTACTCCGACTTCTCTTCTTTTCAACTCGACCGAGCAAAAACTAGACAAAAAATACATATGTAACCCTCTCAACAAAAGAAGCAATTAACCCACTTTTGAATCAATAAATTACCTGCATCTGAGCAATAATGAGAATCCACAAGATTCACTGCACATAGCCTGAAGTCCTTCTTCGCCATCAGCTCCACCATGTTCTTTACGGAGCAGTGATGAGTGTAAAGCTCGACCTACAGATGAAATAAAACTGATGTGATTGCTCATTATCGTATTACAGTCCGAATACTAACTTGACCAGGAAGATCAAATAAAAAGTAATGCTTGGGAAACTTTGCCAACTGGTTGAGAACCCAGTCGAAGTTCTTCTCAATGAACTCCATGCAGTACATGAGAGCTCCATTTGGTCCCAGCTTAAACTCTGCCATGGAATCTTCAATAGTGATCAGGTCTCTTATGTCAACTTCAGCAGTGAAAGGAGGGTTCTCATTTCCAGGATCTGCAACAAAAAAAAAACGAATTCATGCAGATGGTGGCTCGGAAATTTTTTGATTTACCTCGGATCGATAATATTTCAACGAGCAGTAAAGCTAAAATCTTGTATTTCAGACTAAATAAAATTTAGATCCAACAACTTCTGGACGTGTGTTAGAAAAACCCGAACTTCATGAACTATGGAAAAATTTTCCTTCTCATTTCACGTCGAAGTATGGCCATGATCATTTGAAAAATTATAACTGAAGAAGTGGCAAATCGGGAAATTTTCATTCTTATATTTCCTTGCATTTCCCACAAATTAGGCAGAACAAGAAAAAAATTACAGGAATTATTTTGTTGCGATACTTTCTTTCATTTTTGATGACATACCATAAACTACAGTATAAATAAAAAATTTGACAAAACTAATAAACTGGCGAGTTTCCACCTTACCCGAAAAGTTGCTTCATGTTTCATATTTGGCATAATTCGTGGGAAAGCCGAACAAAAATTCAAAATTTCATGCTTTACGCTGAAGGTAAAGTTTCTGAAATCAGGAAATACTCACCAAGATTCACAATCGCAACTTTCCTTCCAGTGCCAGTGAGAAACTCGTGCATACCTTTACAGTACGTTGATTTCCCACTACCTGGAGGACCCAGAACCACTTGCCCAAATGCAACCATTTCGACAGTGCAAAATAAATTCCGGCTTCTCTAAAATTTTTTGGATTTTCTCTGACAGTTGATCGAAGTGGAATTTGGCCAGAAGAGATGAATGTTGGCTCAAAATCCAGTACCTAATCGTCTCTTTCCAGAACCTGGGCACTGATCCTGTCCATCCACTCATCAACCTTCTCCATCAATTCATTCACTACATCCGCAGAGATGAACAAATGCGTGCTGTCCAAATCTAAATTTGTGAATATATCTGATGACAAGAACTAACCGGGTATCGTAGACAACGTTTCCACCTGCAAGACTGTCACCTCCTTCAAGGATCCCTGGAGTGACACGTGCAATTGCAGCAATTTTATCTATCTCCGACACAATCACGAAAAGCCGCTCAACAAAATCCGAAACACTGATTTTGAGCACTTTTCCCTCGATCTCTTTCTCCAATTCCCGAATATTCACCGCTTCCGCATCGGCCATAAAAAAAACGCTCCTGGTCAGGAAATAAAAAATAAGATTGGGATTTTTAAGCTTGATGTTCTCACTTCTAACATCGGAGTTAGCTCAATTGAATGTCAGACAGGTGTCGCCTGAATCAACAATTGACCAGAAATAATCGTTTAGGACAAACAAAGGGTAACACTAAACTTTTGACCACAGAACAGGTAACAAAAAGCTTTATAAATTGGCATGACGATTTTCATTTTTTGGTGGTTTTTCCTAATACAATGATCTTCCTTGCTTCTTGGTATGTCCGGCAGGTGTCGCCCAAATCTCCAACTGCGTCTAAAGTGCACAGATCAAAACTCAACCAACTGAACACAACGTACAGTATTAACCTGAACAAACTTAAACCTATTAAAGACGAACCTCTCTAAGGTGAACTTCAAGTAACCAGAAAAAAAATCACATTGGTGAGATTTTGAGTTTGAAAAATCAGCATTTCTGTGGGGAAAGAAAGACATATTGCAAGAAATTTCAATTAGAGATATTCTGGGCATTAATTCGATTTTTAAATTGGGATGCTGAACTTGGAGGCAAAGGCTCCTTTGCCCAATTATTCTTTCACTTTCTTTCAAAATAATTGCTTTTCCTTTGTCTATAAAATAATAGCCAAAAGGCTTTCAGAAAATTTCAGTTATTGAGGAAGGTGGGGGGGGAAAGCCTTTGAGTTAGGGAGGTTTTCAATGCATTTTTTCTGAGAGGAATAGATTCTGGCGACAATAATGCAATGGAAACACCGAAACGTAAGGAATCGGCGGAAAAGCGGAAAGCTTCATCCAGGGGACTTTCATCCTTCCGAGGATTTTTGGTACAAAACATTGGCCAATTTCCGACCATAAAGGCGACAATAATGCAATGGAAACACCGAAACGTAAGGAATCGGCGGAAAAGCGGAAAGCTTCATCCAGGGGACTTTCATCCTTCCGAGGATTTTTGGTACAAAACATTGGCCAATTTCCGGCCATAAAATTGCGCAAATTTCGGCGGCAAAGTCCGCAAAAGTGCCACAGCTTTGTCCACGCTTTGCGCAGCTCTGGCTACCGGCACGGGATCCTTGTTCCCGTAAGGATCCCCGGCGTCGTACAATTCCTTTCGCATCCCACACCAGAAAAAATTCACAGCCACGCTGAAGTCCAACGCTTTCACATTATGGTACCACAGGGATGGAATGAACAGAGCATCACCAGGTTTCAAAAAGCACTTGTAACACGTGGCTGACGCCAGCTTAGGGAACTTGTCAAAATCTGGCAAATCCAGATCCTCAACGAGAGATTTGTCACCAACGGGGTAAATAAACTCTGCGTCTGTAGGACTTGACAGCATTCACTCGACGTTTGCACTTTGATACCGGAAAGAAGAAAACCCGAGTTCCCACTCATCGTCACCAAAGGATGAGTTCGGTCAGGCAAAACTTGATACTCCCTGAGCCAGTTTTCAGTTAGCTTCACCAACACTGCACAGCCCATAGATTTCAACATCACGTGACATTCAGCAAGCGGCTGAAAAATACGTATTCAATTTTTTTCGATCATAAATAAAAAATAATTGAGATAAAATTTACTCATAAAAATACCATGAAGGTAAAAGTCATAACTGCCAGATCAAATATCGAGCGATTCGCAAGCAAATCCGTCGAAATGGGCATTAAATGCGTTAAAAAAGTTTGCAATTCAGATGAATCAGTTCTCGATCATTTTTTCCAGAAACAATCTGGAAAGAATGCGACAGAGGCCATGACATTTTGCAAGCAAGCGGAAACTAGAAGGAAAAACCGGGGAGAACCCGAGGTTAATTTAGTATGCCGATGTGACACCGGGACACCCAGCGACATCTACGAACTATAATCAATTCGTCCTTGCAGAGTAAGGAAAGCACAATTATTTCAGAGTAAGAAAAGCACAATTATTTAAATCCGCAGCAACGTTGTTGAAAATTCGAACAATAGTTTTTACAGTCTAATTCAAATGTACGAAACTTTGTATGGGGATCTTCTTTGCTTTTCAAGGCAAAAAAAAAACTGCAATTTTAAAAGGATTGGATAATAATCCAAGTCAAGTCACCTCTCTGAAGGGAGAAAACACGACGAAGGGTTTTGACAATCCTAGCAAGGGTAGAAAAAGTTTAATGAGCTCCTTTGGATTGTCTCTCATAGCAATGATGAACGCGTCAAAATTCCCAGCCAAGACTGCTTCACGTCCCATTACTCTCTGTAAGGCAAAAACAGAGCAAATAGAATGCACAAAAATAAACATTTTATACGAAAAAACAGAACTCACAAAGCAATTGTCTTTTTCAGGAATCTCAAAACCGGGATTCAAACACTCGAGATCTTGTAATGGCAATGATATCAAAGGCTGTTTCAAATTTTTGCTGAGATCTAGCTTCTCCACAGCTTCCAATTCCCCACTAAAAATAATAAATAAATGAATAAAAGACGTGACATCTTTTATTGGCAATCAACGATGATCATCGTCGCGGAATTCAGACTAACCTTCTCTCTTTCTTTGTTGTAATACGGATTAATCTTCCTTCGCCTCCGAGCCTTTCCAGAACCCCCGCCGTTACCAAACCTTTGCAACCATTTTCAAGCACCAAATATTTTCCTCCACAACTTATTCCGGCGGTGTTGAGCAAAATTGCTAAAGTGTCCGGCCTCAGGTTCCTGAAAAAAAGAAAATCAACTGGATAAATTCCTCAACTGAGTGACGAAGACATTCAGCAACTCACTGGACACTCAAGGGATCATAGTCGAAAATTATTTCGGAAACAAGCCTCAAAGAAGGCGGCATCAAAGTTACATTGTCCGAGTATTTCTCCAGTTTTTTCCTCAGGTATTTTTGCTGCGAATACTCGGATTTCGATGAAAACGTCGCACTATTCTCCACCAGAAGGTCAATCATTTCTGCGCCCAATAAACCGCTTCCTGTTCTCGTGCAGATTTCATCCATGGTTAGCTTCTGTGATGTGGACGAATCCACAATGTCTCTGTTGTCTCTCGTCACTCCAGTGGCTTCCAATCCTTGAAATAAAACGGAGACAGAATATTCATAAGTTCCGTCAGCACTAAACATTGCTGCCATATTTTGCACCGCATCTTCTCTAATGAACGCTGAGTCTCTAAAAATGGCCAGGGCTCAAGTCAATAGACACAGACCTTTCTTAGTAGCCGGGTGTTATTTAAAGTCAAAAGGGGGAATCGACTCGGGGGGGGGGGGGGGGGGGTTCTTTTCATCACAATCTTTTCATGTAATCCCTTTCATTTAGGGGGGGGGGGGGGGGGGGGGGGTGGTTTCTTTTCATCACAATCTTTGCATGTAATCCCTTTCATTTATAGTGATGAGTTTTCAAAATAAAGATACGACAAAAGAAAAATTACGCCATCCACCTTGTGGCAATTGAAAACCCCGGCCATACGAACAGGTTTGGAATAAGAACAAATTAAATGAGAAAATGAGAAAACTTACCGTATATCTATGTTTCAGGGATACCCGGAAGTTATTTTCTTTCTTCCTCAAATGGAATCCTTTTCCTTTTCCAAAAGAAATTCTCTCAACCATAAAAAAAAATGCTCACAGGTCCCTGAAATATTGATTCCAGTTCTCAGTTAGCCATTGAAATTTCCATTCCAAACATTTATGCTGATTTTTTACGTCTAACCCCGTTTCAAACTTTCAACTATTCTTTTTCATGCATATCAAATCTGTTCAATCCAAATCAGATTTTACGATCAGGCGCGCGTCTTATTTTAGGGTTCAATGAATTCAAGTAAATACAGAACCAACTTCGTAAAAATCCATCCAACAAAAACGCATTTGACCGTCAAAACTTATAAACCAAGTCTTGTACCTGAGTGAACAGACAAAAAATAATACTCACTTGGATCCACTTCCTTTGCGCTCCCAACCTCGAGAGGCTCCAAGTTGAAAACATTGCCTTCCTTCTGCTTCACCAACAAAAAGTTTCCATACGGTTTACCAACAGCGCTGGCAAGGTTAACTTTCGGAAAGCCCTTTTTCAAGTAAAGGGGCCTGTAAAAAAAAATGCATGGAATGATTTAATCAGAAAAACATTTCCGAAGTCCACTCACTTTTGATGAACAGTCAAGATCCTTTTGTCACCAACGCGACAGAAGACAACTCGGGAATTCAACTTTATCACTTCACTCGTTTCCTCCATATTCTTTTTCTATTTCACCAAAAAGAAACGCTACAAATTTAAAAGTTGAGGCCAACGAAGACCTACAAGGCAATTTTATTAAACTTCGGTCTAATAGTGCCCAGATTCCAGCCTCCAGCGCATAATCTGGCATGTTCTAGAGTTCTAGAGTCAGAGTCCACTCCTAATGCATCCAACACACTACCAGCATAATTGGGAACTACTGGCTGCAGCAAAATGGAACACCTCCTACAAATGTCCATCGCAATAAACAAAACCTCTCGCAATTTCTCTTCTTTCCCTTGTTTCCTAAGAACCCATGGTTCGGATTCCTGCACAAAAGCATTGCACTTCCTCAAGACACCCTGAATTTCCTCCAAACCTCTGTAAAAATAGAAATTCTGAAAGTTCTCTGAAACCTGATCCACCAGGGAAGCTGGAAAGAGATCGTTTCGGGTTCCATGGGGATAAACCTGCTCTGGGTTCAGTTTGACAGATGCGCACCTCAAAACCAGGTTGCCCAAGGTATCGGCCAACTCTGCATTCAGCAAAGCAGCCATTTTGCCAGCATTAAAATTTCCGTCATGTCCTAAAACTCCTTCTCTCAGCAAGAAATACCTCCAGCCATCCACAGAGAACTGGTCCTTGAGTGCCAAAGGATTTACCGTGTTCCCAATCGACTTCGACATCTTCACGTTATCCACTAACCAATGAGAATGCACGACTAATTGCTTCGGGGGCATCAATCCAGCAGCCATGAGAAACGCAGGCCAGTAAACCCCGTGGAACTTGAGGATATCTTTTCCGATAATGTGGGTTCCGGGCCAAAACTGGAGTTTCGGGTAACCACACACAGTCAAATAATTCACCAAGGCATCTAACCAGACATAAATAGTTTGACTTTCATCTCCAGGCACCGGGATTCCCCAAGATAATCTGCTCGCAGGCCTGGATATAGAAACTTTATGGATCTCATCCTCAATCAGTTTCTCCAAAATCGGCAGAAATGAAGCGGGATGGATCCGATTTGGACCCTGGACCCACGTCAATAGGTCATCTTTGAGTTGTGGCAAATCAAATACATAGTTTTCCTCACTGCTCCATGTGAGCACGTGGTTTGATCCTACTGCGAGACGTTGATCTCCAGCACGGGTCGTGTTGACTTCAGGAATAAAAACTTCATCCAATGAGTCATACCAACCTAAAAAAAACGAAAATATAAGTCATCATTAGAATACGTTTAGCACAAATTGTATGTCACAAATGAATTATTAAGAGATTCTTACATTTTTTGCATTACTTTAGAAGTAATTCATAGGTTTTTAAAAGCTTTCTTTCGCATCAGAAAAATTATTTCACGTGGAGTCGAGAACGGGGTCAACAGAGTGATCCTCAAAAAATTAAATGGTATTTAAAATATTCATCTTTCTTCACTGCCCGCGGGTGTAGAATAAAAAGGATATCGAGATATTCTAGACTGATCTGGAACTCAGCTTCACTTTTTTCAATTACAATCAGAAAAGCTTGCACGTCGAGGAGATCAAGAAAATCTTTAGTAACCTTCATATGTGCTCTTCGAAACCAGCCGAGACAGTTGCATACATTCCCAGAAAAATTCCACAGCCTCAATATGCCTTTCCTCCGTAGTCCTTATGAAATCCGAGTGCTGAATGTCGAATTCCGCGAAGAGTTGGCGAAATCTGCCAGAAACCTTATCGCAAAACGCGAGTGGATCTTCCCCGTGTTTCAAGGCGCTCTGATGCACTTTCAAGCCGTGTTCATCAGTGCCTGTTGTGAAGTGGTAATCTATTCCCTGAAGACGCTGAAACCTGCTCCAGGCATCACCCAAAAGCGCCGTATACAAATGGCCAACGTGTGGCACGTCGTTCACGTAGAAAATCGGAGTCGTCACGAGCTTCGGCAAATTACGCGTCGGTTTTTGCGCGAAAAATTTGGACAACAATCGCCGCATCTCGTCCTCTTTTTTCACATTTCAAGACTCTGCTTCAAACGCCAAAAATAAATAAAATTCAAATTTCCTCTTCTCGACTGGGAGCCGAAGTTAAGAAATGCCGACATCAGGAATAAAACTTTTCGTAAGAAAAAAGTGAGTTTCATACTCGTCGAAAACTTTAGTCCCATCACAGTCAGAATTCCAGACGCTTCACGAGACCAGCTGCAAAACGAACAAAAGTTGATCAAACGTTTTTCTTTCTTTCAGTTCGAAATTTCGGGGAACATGCAATTTAAAAATACGCGTTAATTGAGGTTTAATTCAGAACTTGAACGCTGAAATGCGAAAAAATTCTGGGAAAAGTCCAAATAAACGAAATTCTATCGAACATGGATTACAGATCCATCAATTACACAGTAATCTTCATGATTATCCCATGTGACGAGTCGATACAAACCTCCGAAACTCGTCGCAGAATCGAACAAATTCCTTCGCAGATCGTCTCCTCCGGCGCCAATAGTCGGTGCAATCTCCTCCACCTCGTCGAATCCCCAACACAAAGGTTCTCGTGCAGGATTGCTCCTGGTTTTTTTTTAAACAAGGAAAACGAAAACTGGCAAAATGTTTTCGAACCCATCGTTTCGAAGCTTACTTGAAGTATTCACTGTCGAGAGCTTCTGCGCACTCGGGTCTTCTCATCGGATTCAAACTCAGCATGGAATAAAGCAGGTAGATCAAATCGCTTGGTGCAGCGCTGAAAATGTCCTCTAGCCGGTGTGGCTGCTGTGGCTCGAATCGCACGTAATCGCTCAACTGCGTCACACCCTTCACGAAAAAGCAAATTTCAATTCGCAGCAACAATTTTTTTACATTAAAACATGGAAACACAAGTTCTTGCCAATCTTTTATACAACCATGTCTTTTAAACAGTAAAATCTTGTTGCAACAAACTGCTGGTGACAATAATTCGTCATACCGGCATTTTCAAAATTAATGACTGGAAGAATGATTTCACATCACACCAGCCAATAATAAATTAGATCTTGCGTTTCTGACAGTCCAAATTTTTAATTTTTGTCTAAAAATTGAGTGATCTTCTGAAAAAATGAAATTAGCTTCGATCATGCATTCCATCGTTGCACCGATCTCTTTATTTTTGGAGGATGTTGCAACGAGATTTTACTTCCGTGAATTTAATCCGGAGTCCCCTCGACTAGGTTTTCAAGAACATCCACTGTTTACGATCAGCTTACCGGCCAAATCTCTTCAGTTGGAGTCCCCATGACGCTGAAGATTTTCTCCAGCTGGCGCAAGTCAGATTCTCCAGGAAAAAACGGGGCTCGGAGCAGCAACTCGGCCAGAATGCAGCCTACAGACCACATGTCAACGCCTGTCGAGTAGCACCGAGCCCCAAACAATAGCTCCGGGGGTCGGTACCAGCGCGTGATCACCATCGGGGTCATGGGGCGACTGGAATCTCCGTATTCCTTGGCGAGCCCGAAATCGCTGATTTTCAGCAGCCCGTCTTCGTTCAGCAACAGGTTATTGGGTTTCAAGTCCTAAAATAAATTAAGAAATTATTTAGGAAAATGAAAATTTATTCTTATCGAAAACCAACGAAATGACTCTTCATCCTACTGAGGATTTTAAAAAATTCCCGGTGCACCCCGATTATCATATAATGGTACTTCACTCATGAAATACTGCGATTCAGAGCAATTAAAGCATGGAAAAAATATTCATGTACGATTTTCTTGCTTCACGAAATTATTCATCCGTCTCCTCATTAACATACTCGAAAAAGAATCGACATACCCGCAGAAAATCTAAATTCAGAAACTAAATTTCTGGCTCGAAGTCGGTTCAACAATCGACAGAAACTTTTGAAACTTACTCGGTGCAAAATCCACCTTTCGTGTAAATACTGTAGTCCAGTCAGCGTCTGAATCATGAAGTCTTTTACGTTTCCCGGCGTGAAGACCATTCCAGTGTCCTTAATTAGCACTTCCAGGTCCGTGTCCATGAAATCAATCACCAAAGATATGTTCGAACCTTGTCCAAAAATATCTGGAAACGAATCCAAGGAAACTTCACTTTACAAAAATTGACATATATATACGGTATTTTTACTGACTAACCAAGCAGTCCGATGATGTTCTCGTGATTCAGTTCGTAAAGCAATTTGATTTCCCGCAACGCCGTTCGATTGATCCCGTCTTCCGCTTCTGCCCTACTGCCAATTTTTATCTGTGACAAAGAAAAACCGAGCCGAGTCGGTATTAAAATGTAATTTCTACTTAATTAACTCCTGCTCGTTCAAAAAATATTTCGAACTGGCCTAGAAAGGAGTTCTTTCGCTTTTCTTCATGTTTGCGAGAATACTCAAATATTTCTGCAGTATTCTCTTTCTCTCGGCACCGAATATCTAAACGCTTGCATTTTGTTCGTCTTTGATCCTATCGTAGTCCAGGAAAAAGATTAACTTTTCTTTGAGGAGAAATAAATTATTTATCCAAGGGAATACGTTTTTGCGCGATAGACTCCCTCGATGCTTGCATCAATTGAGTAAAAAAAATTCATGCGAGTTAATACTGTCGTTGAAAAGCCGTCAATGAATCAATCAAGCAAACCTTCTTCACGGCGACGACTTTGCCAGTCACTGGATGCTTCGCCTTATAAACCGTGGCGAACTGACCTTCGCCAAGGAAGGCAATCTTCTCGTATTGGGCATGGGTAGCACTTGGCCCTCTACGGCGTTTTCGCGACGGTGTCAACTGACTTTGACCGCCCATGCGGTCCGACGCTCCAGGCTCTTCGTCTTCTTCATCCTGGGCCAGCTTCTCCCGACTTTCGGGCCAGTTCTCGCGCGCTTCCGACGCGTAGTTGAACCACAATCTTTTATGAACGTCTTGGGATCTCATTCCTCGTAATATTTTCGCCCCTAGTTCATGAATAATACAGCATTTCACTCATTACTTCAATACAATTCAGTTAATTTTTCGGAGAAATTCAAAAGAGTAATTTCGCAGAGTGGCATTTTTTTTCCTTCGGTCCGAAAAAAACAACAATAGCAGATTTCATCGACGATCCGTTTTGCCTTGTTTTCTTTTGCCGGCAAAAAGATGCTTGGGTTTCATGTCGAGGATAACGCGATCTCCTTCTCCCTTTCTTGCTTGTCTGTTCATCTTCAACTGAGCTTTTTTCGCAATCTTTTTCACCTTCGTAATTGCCTAAAAGGATCACAGAGTTGGATTAGTCAACAGGTCTCACTCGACAATAAATCTTTGAAACTACTCGAGATTTAAAATGCCTTTTTCACAACAGGAAAAAAGTGAAATACAGTATGGTTACCTTTTCATCCTTGAGACCGCTCCTGTCCCTGGAGACGCTGGTAGACCTGGCCCTGACGACGGATTCAGAGCGAAGCATTTTCAGCGGCGGTCGTGACCTGGATCTGGCGGCTCGTTCGTAGTTTGATCCAAAACCGTCGCCGCCGTCAACGTCCATAGAATTGTCACGCTTTCGTTTCCTTCCCGGCAAATTCACGCCGAGGTCAGACATTTCCCGACGGAGCCGAGACACGCTCCGGTCTCGTACTTTCCCAGGCCTTGGCATCTTCGCCTTCGTACTCGTCTTCGTCATTCGATGTTCATTCTAGAACAACAAAAATCGGGTCAAGGCCGTTTTCTACGACCAGTTCAAGAAAAATAGGAATTTACTCACAGATAAAAGCATGCGCTTCTCGCGAATCTTTTTAGCCGTCGCGCGAATGAACTTCATTTTGTCGTCCTCTTCAACAACTTCGTCGTCGTAAAACCCGGCCTTTTCCCGCATTTCTTCTTCTTCCAAGAGCTTCTGAAACTTCTGCAAAACATGACCCAATATTCGCATCATTTCGAAAGAAAAGGTCGAACATGGAAAAAACAGAGCCGAACCTCTTGAATAGCGGGATCCATGAAATCGGCGATGTTGTGCCCGTTCCAAATTTCAGGTAAGATGTCCCAACGATATTCTTCGGGCAAATCGTACCACTTCTTCAGATCCAGGTAATAATCATCACCCAGTTCGAGCTCTAAATCTTTTTCCAGTTTCCTAGTTTTTGCATCTTCTTCGTCAACTTCCATTCCTTTGTTCTTCTTTTTCAGAAGCACAGCGTCTTGGAAAATGATAAAATCATAAGACATGATGTTGATAGACAACAAAGAAATACAGTAGATTTTTTTATTTGCAGGTAAAGTCCGATATAATAGTTCCTTCAGTTAGTTCAAAATCGTACACTCACCAGGGATACACGGTGGTCTTTGTATCGAGTCCCTCTCCTTTGGAAGAGCAACGTGGAGTCTGTTCAGAATATCGCCCATCTTCTTGCCTTTGAGCTTCATTTCTACTCTGTAGGTCAGCAGACGTTCACAAGCCTCGGTTTTCACCTCACTCACACCCTGTTCAGACACGGTCGACATTTCCATCACGGGTATTCCTTCCTTCTCAAGAATGGTCAACCGGGATTCATCATCAGGGTGCATATCGGATCTGCGCATCACGTCGCTTTTGTTGAGGGCAACCAGCAAAGGCTAAAAAAATATAAATCAACAATGAAGATACACTGAACACAAAACATTACTGTTCGATGATTTCAAATCCCACCTTGTTTGCGAAGAGAGGTTTCACGGACTCAAAAAGCCGGATTTGGTCTTCAACGTTGTGTCCACACTGACCTGATGGATCCATGATGAAAAGCACACAAGCCCTAATGTGGGCCAATGCCGTGATGGCTTGCATTTCTGTTCATCAAAAGAGAGAAAAAATTATTCAACGCATGAACGACTTTTGCACATTTTATTTTCTTTTTCACGTTATTCACACTAACCGATTGTGTTTCTCTCTTCAAGGGGATGATCAAGAAGACCGGGTGTATCAATCACTTGCCACTTCAGATACTTGTAGTCGGTGTGGCCCACGTACAGTGACTTTGTTGTGAAAGAATAGGGTTGAACTTCCACATCTGCTCTCGTAATCTGCATGGAAAAAAAAAAACATCACAACACATCAAAAATGTCCTCAAGCGTCACAATTGAAAAATATTCGCATTTGCACATTTCGTATTGATTGAAAAATACATTCAAATCAAAAGCACGACAGTCAATTCTAACTTTTTTTCATCAAAGATGATCTTTCGGCGTTCAGCAAACTAGAAGTAGACTTATGTTTTAAATTTCTCACCTTGTTGATGAAGCTGGACTTTCCAACATTAGGGAAACCACAAAGAATGATAGTCCTGGTGTTGGGGTCTATAGACGGCAGTCTAGACATGTGCTGTCGAACATGCTCCAAGTACTGCAAACTGCTCGCCTGTCGCTTCATTATTGTCACCATCCTGAAGAAGAACATAAAAAATACTAGAATGCAGTATATTCAGGATTTCCAAATCATGCATTGAAATGCAAAAATACTCGAGGGAAACGTAAAATCATTGCTGAACATCTACAAGTAAATTCGATTCACAATTGAATATTTTCTTGCAGTTTCAAAAAAATACCAAGCACGAGCGGTGCATAAAAACTCGTAAATGAAACACTGGGAATTCTAAAAAATCTAAAAATAAACTCATGTCTCTCCCAAGAAATCCCAGCTTCGCTTCAAAACAAAATACACGTAGACGTATTTTAATTCCGAATTTACTAACGCGATAAAAATGAATAAGAAGGACAACTAATTTTACAAAAAATTTCGAGATTCACTCACCTGCCCAAAGCAGCCTTTTTCAACTGCTTGCATCGATACAAAGAGTCTCCATATTTCATCAGCCGTACATAATCCTTCGCTACACTGTATTTCAATAAGAAGAAAAAAAACATTCAACGTCATAACAGGAGCTCTAAGCAACAACTACAGGTCGGAGGGGGGATCACGAGGATCCCCCACCGCGACGACGTCACCCACTTGTCGATCAGGTGGCGTGCAATGTTGATCTGGCCCAGTGCCAGTTTGTAATGGTCTTTGTCGTAGAGAACGTTCAGCAAATCCGCATAAAACGGGTGAATATCCTTCACAGAAAAACGGGACACTTGAGAACTCGAAAAAAAAACACACTAAAAATTTGACTTAATCTTACCTCCATCTTTGGAAACTCAGTCAAAATCATTGACAATCTGTCGTGAAAATTCTGCTGCGTGAATCGGACCTTGCGCATGTAAAACTGACGGATACGAGATATTTTGTAATGTTTGTGCACCACCGTCGGCGTTTTTCTCTGCGTCTTGCTCAGCATGATGTTGATGAAATCCTGTAAAAACACGGTATTTTAGCAACAAAATTAAAAAGTTCCCTCAGAAAAAACCTTACCGCCGCCGTGGGCACGACCGTGATCTTCTTGAAATTGTACATGGCTGCACAAATTCTTTCCTACACTATTTCAAGAAGAAAAAAAACTCATTCGAAGGGCTCAGTTTCGACCCTGCAAAATAAATTGAAAAACACTGAAAACCAAAAAAATAAAATGAATACAGAGAAGATACGGAAAAAACACGTCTTGAAAAAAAAAAACGTTGTAATCCACTCCACTTTGCGAGTCTTAGTTACAGAGAGAAACACGCAGAATTTTCTTTTTTACACTTGAGGAACTTGAGGTTCAACGCCTTGGAATTGCCCGGCGATGGATTCGGAATATCCAGGGATCCCCATATACGCATCGATCCTCTTCTGCAACTTGTTTTTTCCCCGTCTTTTCATTCTCTTCTCCTTGAAAGCATCCCAAACGTGCTGCCAATACATGGCCTGTTCGGGTCCAACAATAACGACGGCATTCGGAAATTTCGGACTGTTGGTCAACGTGAGTGCGGACAACTTGTCCCGACAACGAACATAAGCCAGGGAAGCTTCGGGTCTGCAATCCACGTGCTCTGGCGTCACAATGCTGCGGACGGAGTTCTTAAACACCGACTGCTCCTGTTCTGTTGCCACGTCGGCGGGGATTTTCACGACGGAGTCGGGAACATAAGGTATCTTCTGCCAAGCATCGCGTTCTAAACGCTGTTCAAACGACATTTTCGGGCGTTCCGAGGCTTCACTCATGCGCTGAGGCGCTTGCTGCGGTAGTTTCTTCTTCTTTTTAATAAAAGGATGTTCTTCGGCTTCAGCGTCTTCTCGACGCCGTTTCCAGGGATGAGGAGTTTCTAGAGCACTCGATGTGGTGGGTGAGCGGAGTTTGTCCATTTCTGCCACGACAGACTCGGGCATGGTTTCTTTCTTGGGCCAGACTCCAACTCTCGGCACTTTCGTCTTCATGTCCGCCTCGAACCTCTGCGTTTCCTCCTCCTCCATTTTGGCGTTTCTCAGAGCTTGCTTCATGCGATTGTAGTTCAAACGTTGCATATCCATGTAGTGGTTTCTCAACTTCTTCCACTCTTTTCTGAAAAAGAAGGGGAGATACTTTGTTAAGCATTCAGGGGAATGAATCTGTTTCGAAACTCGAAGTTATACACGTAAATTGATGGACTTACTTCAGCATGACCTTCAAGCCCAGAGTTCCGACTTCGACAGCGATTCGGGTCCTGTCGTTTTTCTTCTTCTTTTCTCGCTTCTTCTTCTTTCGTCGCTTTTCAACGATTTCCCCATCGTCGGACTCTTCTTCGTTCTCCTTCTCGTCAACGTCGATTTCCCCTTCCTCCAACTTTTCTCTAGTCGTAGTTCCGCACTTGGGATTATCCGGCGGAAGAAGCTTCTCCACTTCGGCTTCTTCTTCAGTTTTGTTGTGAATTGCGAATGACAAAGGCGGAGGAGGAACAGAAAGATTTTTCTGAGGATCCATCAACTCGTGACGCGGGGGAGTAGCTTCCATGAGACATCCTACTTGTCCGAAAGCTTGCAAAGTGGCTTCGGCCATCCGATCGTTCTCGAATTCAACGAAGCCAAATCCTTTAGGACGATCATTTGGGAACTTCGGCAATGATATAAAGTGCACGTTCCCCCATTGGGAAAAGATGGCTTTCACGGAGTCTATCGTCGCTGTCCTCGGAAATCCTTCCTGTAAATGAAAGGTGTAAATCAGCGAATCTACAGTAAACAATATTGCGCTAGTCTGATTAGAGATACCCCGCTTAATTACTCACTTTTCTAACACACTTCCGGAGGAACAAATTGGGGCAGTCATTCGTAATAAAATCCGAGTGACAAAAACAAACCCATTCAAAATGGAATAAAACCTTGCCCAGGCTTTCGCCGTATTATTTAAAACGTCGAATTTTAGAAATTAAGGTACTCACCACGTAAACGATGCAGTCGTCGGAGTTCTCCTTCGGCACGATTGGAACTCGTCTCCGTACACAAGTTTTGTCGGGCGATAATTCGAGAATCTCTGAATGCGAAAGCGCACGTCGAATTTCTTTAACGTGCGTTGTCAACGCTTGCACTCGTTTGAATTTCAGAAATTCCTCAATGTTCATCCAGTTCACGGAATTGCCGTGCAGAAGCTCCATCATGTAACGATCTTTTGTCAGGTTAGCTTCAGAAAAGTAAAACTCGATCTGGTACCGAATATTACGGTACTTCTCTTTACGGCGCTTGCGTGCCTCCTTCTCCTTCCGTTCATCTTCATCCTACATGAGAAACATGCATTGTTGGCAATCGCGAAACCGTGATATTCGAATAAAATTCTTGACTTACGTCTGATGTCGCTCTCTTTGACGCAGTGCGACTCCTGGAATCCTCACTAACGTCAAAAACTTGTGGAGTTCGTTTCTTCTTGGAAGACATTTACTGGTTTCAAGATTCACACTAATAACTCGCGATCCTACACTAACTCGCGAATCTAAAAAGAAAGACCTGCTTTCCAGCAGACACCCAGCACTACCCGAGAAACGCATCTGCGAATCAAGAAAACCGCCAATTACACGAACGAATCAGCAACTCGCATCTGAATTGAATGTTTAGGGAAGGAATCGTTTAGAAACGTGCTTTCCGACAGTCCGGCCTTCGACAAATTGTCAAGGCTGATAGGGTTATTACCCGGGACGCTTTCAGACGCCCGAAATGGAAGTCTAGAAATTCAAGATGAATTCAAATACAAAGCAGGATGATACAGATCATGCTACTTTACCCATGCTTCCTTAGGTGACGATGGACGGAACGTGGACGACGACGCCGTGGAAACACTGACTCAAAAACTTCGTAATTCGATCACAAGCTCAGGTCACGGACTCTTTTCCACGCCAGATAACGACGAGGTCACGAGGAACTCACGACTCAAAGTGACGTTATAAGGGATGCCGCTGAATCAGATTCAGTTGAACGCGGCCATGATGCAGGGGGCTACCGTGGAAAACTTTGAGGGCCTTAACATATTCTGGTTGTAACAAAGACTTACTCCTGCGTTTAGTGGAACTGTATGTGAAAATGCCCATGTGTCAGGAATTGTAGCATAAATTATCAGCTCTCTTTTGTTTAAATATCAAAATATGACTTTGAATTGAATTTTCAAGGTTCGCTTTATGGATCTGTTTCACTAGCCTTGACAACAAAGCGTATGCATTGTTTAGGGTTACCAACCCGCAGATTCTCCAAAGACGTGATGCATATCAATCTTCCACTTCAGTGAATAATCCAACTGTGGATGCTGGATAAATAAAATTCGCATCAAAAAAGGTTAACAAGCAGTTCAGGGCATCATATACCCCAGAAATACATTAATTTTTATAAGTATAATGGGTGACCAGCGCTTCAGCATGGTGCACACCATATAGTAAGGGTTCCCCTTTACTTGACACAGCGCCATCTAGACGCCCGTATTGGCGTAAGGGCAAACGGCCACGTGTCTCCCCACGTGTTTACTCCCAACCACCTGTTATCCTTGCGTCATCATCGGTACCACCTCTTGCGACATCACCTGAACAGGTCATTGCACCACCACCGGAACCACTTGTGGAGGAGGCGAAGAGAGGAACCCCGACTCGGCACTTCAGTCTTAGCTCTTGACTCTGTAACATCTCCTGACTTACTATTGTGTGTTACGTGTGACCTGATTAATAAATAACTGTCGTGTTCGTGAAAAGGAGGAGTTCTTCAATTATCCTTATTGGGGGCTCGAGCCTGCAATAGTAACTTTTCACGGAAACCGGCATTCTCTTTATCGTGCGCAACACTGAAAATTCACGCGCCGCCGCAGCATACGAGCTCGAGATGAACACGGAACAAGCCCAACAGCCCACCCCCCCAACTGGGGAACCTCCAGCTGCCACACCGCCCGGTGCATCTGGAACCATGATCACCGCCTCATCGTCGTCCAGTCCAGCGTCCAACGCGAGCGTCTGGGAATCACTGCCGTTGGATACCTTGCAGTTCCTGACCGACACGTATCGTCTTGGATACCCAATGATTGCGACGAAAGCAGGATATGCAGCCCATCTTGACAAGTTCCAAGTTCCCCTCTCAGCTTTGCTCGCGTTTCCTCGACAGCCTCCATCGGGGTCATCTAGGCAACTCGTTCCACTTCGGGAAGAAGAACGGACAGTCCAATTACCGGCCATGCCTCCAAGGTGGTTCGCAGAACCTCAAATTCCAGAACTGCCTAAGCAACACGCAGACGAAGAATTTGAAGACTACGCCATGCGCCTCCGAAATCGCCTGGACATAGACAACATCAATGATGGACACCGTGTCAGATGCCTCATGGACAACACGTTACCAAAAATTCAGGGGACAGCCCAACATGTCATTCAACAGCGCAAAAAATTTATTGCACAGGCTAACAAAACCAAACTCAGAACTTTTCAGCCTGGTGAACTAATTGCCATATTTCCTCGCTTACCTACAGTTGAACAGCACGCAGCCAATCGTCGATTCCGCACACAGAAGCTGGGGCCTTTTATGGTCATCACGGACAAAGGCCAAGGCAAATATTGGGTTGGAGCGGGACCCCATGTCCGAAGGGTCAACGCCTGGGAAATGGTTCCATTCCGTGGGTTACTGCAAGCACCCATACCTGGTTTCAAAAAACAGCTGGGAGTCATCAACCTGGAAACAGGACTATCTACTATTGTTCCTCATACCATTGATCATGTTTACGCGCGTCCCCTCAGTGAACGACCGGCAGAAAATACACTCACGTTGCGATTCAATCACTCGTGCGAACGACCCGCGGGTCAACAACCTTTGGATAGATTGGGACAGACTGATCACCTTGCGCGATTGGGAACCACCGATTGCGCACACCCGAAATCATGTTTAAGCCGTGAAACAGAGACGACCGCGCCATCTTTTTCCTGGGGGGGGGGAGAGTAAGGGTCCCCCACTCATTTGGATCGGTTGGAGACCTTCAGACGGATGAAACCGGACAACGGGGAGAGCTACCTGAGTTTTGCGGAACGACTTCGTGATCAGTATGAATCCTTCTTGCAAGTTCCAGCTGACCTCTTGGACGTTGGCGAACCCTTGATCCAGCAGACGCTCATGGAACAGCTTCTGCGCATCTCCGACGGCGGCCTACGGGAAGAACTCCAGAAGAAATGGCTAAAAAACCGACACATGAAATGGGATGACTTCGTCGACATCGCAGAATCCTATCGCCTGAATCACCGGGAGAAGTCCACGTCCGGCAATGAGAAATCGTCGTCCGGCAAAACGGGATACCGATCACGGCGGGACCTGCCACCGCGCCAGTGGTGCGACTACCACAAACGTCACATGCGCCACAGCTCCAACGACTGTCGCCTACGTCCCAATTCATCGTCAACATCTACTTCGGCCGCCGAGAACGGGGCAGCTAAGTCCACATCGACCATGTCGTCGTCCGATCGCTCAAATGATTCCGCGAACTTTTCCTGTTTCCATTGCAAAAAAGCGGGCCACATGATGCGCGAATGCCCGCAGATACAGGGAAACGGGACAGCGGCTCAGTGAACGCGGCTCACTGCGCTTCGACTACCCTCTCCGCCGCACCTCCACCAGTGGTTCTTCAGGTGTCTCTGCATAACCAGGTATTTTTGGGTCTACTCGATACGGGAGCTTCCCACTCCTTCGTGTCCGACTCCCTGATCCAGTCCCTGACCATTCGCTGTACTCCAGTTTCCACCGCCGTCAGCACGGCGCTGGGCCCTGAACCAATGACAATCGCCCACACAGCGCAGATTGCGTTTCTGTTTCATGGCATTGAATATTCCGGGGTTTTTTTGGTCTTACCGAAGTTACGCGAATTTGATTTTATTTTTGGCCGCAATATTTTGCTTCAATTACCGGTTGCGATCACAGTCGACGGTCAAAGACTGTTCACCGGATTTCGCGAGATTACGCGCGCGCCAGCCAAACCCTCCTTGCCCTGCGGGGAGGGCATTCTTTTTGTTGATGGCTCATCTGCCGAGCGACGGCGAGTCACCGAGATTTTGAAAGCGCACGCGCCAGCCATTCGACAGTGGTCCGGACGACGCGGTCTGTTTATCGATCATGTTGTTCGCATCCCCACTATAGATGCGCCACCGCCTGCCACTCGCCAGTATAGGCATTCCGTCGAGCGCAATGCTCCGTTTGCCGAGATTATCGATTTGTACCTGGAAGACGGCATCTTAGAACATGCGGCTTCCCCTTACAACGCACCTGCCTTCCTGGTCAATAAGAAAGGACCACCTGATGCGCCTATCGAAAAGCGCTTCCGACTCGTCGAGAATTACAAGGAATTGAACAAACTTATTCTCGATGATCACTACCCGATGCCAATCGTCCAAGAGCTTATTGACGCCCTTGGTAGGAACAATCAGTATTTCTGCGGCCTCGATCTACATTCCGCCTATCATCACCTGCCGATAGCCCAAGAAGACCGTCCGAAAACTGCGTTTATGTCCCCACGCGGTCAAGTACAGTATAAGGTAATGCCATTTGGTCTCAAAAACGGACCCGCGATGTTTCAACGTGCGATTAATACGATTTTACGTCCTCATCTTTTCAAGAAATGTCTAGCATATGTTGATGATGTTTTAGTATTTGGCGAAACCTTTGAAATTTTGTGTAGCAATTTGTCCGACGTACTGACTGCTTTACAGGATGCTGGGGCAGTAATCGATATTGAGAAATCTAGCTTTCTAGCACGACAAACAGTCTTCTTGGGCCACATCATTGATCAAACCGGGAGCAGACCTGCGGAACGAAACGTAGAAGCCGTACAGAACTACCCCCAGCCTGCCACGACTCGTCAAATGCAAAGATTCTTGGGGATGGCGACCTATCTCAGGGCCCATCTTCCCACGAATTTTGCAGACTCTGAAAAGGCTCTTCGACGGATCATTCCGAAGAAGCCCGAGACTCGCCTACAGTGGAACACTGAAGCACAAACCGCTTTCGAACATTTGAAGGCCTGCCTAGCTGAAACGTCAAAATTGGAGCGCATTGACCCGAATTTACCCATCTCGGTACACTGTGACGCCTCCGCAATCAGTCTGGGGGCTATCCTTGTTCAAACTGACAACTCTGGACAAGACCGCGTCATTGAGTATGCTAGTCGAGTATTAACTGACACCGAAACGCGCTACACTAATACCGAACGCGAACTTCTAGCAATCGTGTGGAGTGTGACTAAAAAATTTAAACATCACCTCCTTCACAGGCGTTTCACCGTTAATACAGATCACAAGGCTCTCTTAGGCGATCTTCAAACAGAACGCGCTGTCAGCCTCTACACCAAACTTGCTGCCTTCAACTTCGAATTAGTCTACCGGCCAGGGAGATTCCTCCAAGGTCCTGATGCTCTAAGTCGAATATCTTTGAACGCGGCGACTGTCCGACCTACTCCAACCGAGGAGGAACGGGAACACATTATCGACACGTATCATTTCGAATTAGCGCATGCCGGATGGAAAAAAATCTATCTAACCTTAAGGGACCGATTCCAATGGCCTGGTATGAGACAGCAAATTTGGCAGAGAGTTATCAGCTGCACGACCTGTTTCCGTTACAACCGCCCGACACAAACAGTGGGCACAGTTCTGACTCCCATTGAATCCACTCGACCTCTTGAACGCTTAGTTGTCGACTTTTATGGTCCTCTGCCGACGACACCTGAAGGATTCAAGTATGCCATTGTGGCCATCGATCATTTTAGTAAGTTTATGTGTGCAAAACCGATCATTGCCGCCACTACAGAAACTGTTGTACCTTATTTAGCTGAGCTATGTCAACAATTAGGTGAGTTTGAGTACATTCACACTGATGCAGATTCTGTTTTTAGAGGTAAGGCCTTTAAACACTTTCTCCGCGGCGCTCATATCAAACAACACATTGCGCAACCCACACATCCCGAAGG